ATAGTAAGAAAACAAAACACCCAATTTAAAAAAGTGGGCAAAATATTTTCAGTCTCTTCACCAAAGATGTACTGATGGCAAAAAAGAACATGAGATGATGCTGAACTTCATTAGTCATTAGGTAAATGCAATTTAAAACAGCAGTGGCATGCCAGTCCAAAACCCATTGCCCTCAAGTCGATTCCAACTCGTAGCGACTCTACACACCTATTAAAACGTCTAAAACTTAAACACTTGACCATATCAATTGTGGCAATGACGTGGGGAAAGTGGAACTCTCATACACTGCTGTTTGGAATGCAAAATGGTACAAGAGAAATAGAAACATAGGTCCATACAAAGACTTGTACATAAATGTTTGTGGCAGCTTAATATGTAACAGACAAAAAACTGGCAACAATCCAAATGTTCATCAACAGATGAATGGATAAACAAATTGTGGCATATCCATACAAGAGTATACTACTCAAGAATAAAAAGAAATGAACTATTGATACAATGCTACAACATGGGTGAATCTCAAAAAAATCATATTGAGTGATAAAAGCCAGACATATTATACATATGTCATTTCATACATTTACATAAGATTTTAGGAAATGCAAACTAATGTATAGTGACACAAAACAGATCAGTGGTTGCAGGATTTAGGAGAGAACCAGGGAGGGAAGGGGAAGAAAATTATAAATGGACAGGAGAAAACTTTTGGGGATGGTAGTAGATATGCTTATTATCTTGACTGTGATGATGGTTTCATAAGTGTGTATATGTTAAAACTTACTAAGTTGTATAGTTTAAATATGTGCCATTTGTTGTCAGCTGGCAGTCTGGCTTGCAGCTCCAATCTGCTGCTTTCATATCACATAGTCATCTTACCTCTGTGTCTCTATCTCTCCTCGCTTTAATAAGGACACTATTCATACTGAGTTAGGACCTAGCCTACTCCAGTATGACCTCATGTTAACTGTTAACACCTTCAAAGGCCCTGTTCACAGTTACCAGAGGTTACTTTTGGGGGAGGGAGAGGGAGCGCAGTTCAATCCGTAACAGTCGGATAGTTGGAAAAGTTAACCTTACTAAATTATTCTTGACATATGAGAATTAGTCCTAAATTCAGAGCCTTAAGCAGGAAGGGGGAAAGGAAGAAAGGGGCAAACAGAGAGGGAAGGAAAGAGAGGGAATATTTCCATAATGTATTAACTTATTCCAATATTTAACCACTCTTCGCATCTATGAAAATTTTTCCTCAGAACTCTCCCGCATGCTTCTGTTTATGCAGTTGCCTTGTGTTCTGCTCGCTGAGGAAATGGAAAACCTCTAGGCATCATGCAAAGTTAGGGGGAGTTTCAATTAGGTAATTTGTTAAGTTCTCTAATACTTGGTGACTACAATCATTTTACTGAAAATATAATTGAAATTTGTGAGGTTCTACACATAAACTCAGGGCATGTAGGACTGAGAGGGAGAATGACATTCTTGCTCCAGGAATTACCAGGCCTGCCCTAGACCCTTCACACACAGCCTAGCAGCCCCAGAGATTTAAAATTCTTAGAATCTGGGATTCAGGCCAAGGAGAGTTAAGTAACTACACTCATGTTCAGCTGCAGGTCCCTGGTCCCATGATACTGTGAACCTCTAGATGTAGTAGTGATGGGAGAAGTTCCAAAAGGTTAAAGACTTCCTGGGATGTGCATTTTCACCATACTTCTGAAATAGGGAGGATAGAATGCCTCCCAGACAAGTCTCAGCAGCCTTGGTCTGGCTTTGTTTTTGCCATCAAAATCTTTTCTTGTTTTCTTACAATGAAAACGTAACGATCGTGACCTCTTTGCATGGGTGTTGGGATTGGAGCAATTTTAGGTGCCACTCTGTGCATTTCTTTGTTCTTCCATTTTTTTTATAAGCAAGTATTATGTTTGTCATTATGTTTAAGAATCAGGAAATCATTGACAGTAGGTGAAAAGCTAAATAGGTGATACGTGTATCAGCGACCCGTTGCTGTTACTGTTTTCAAATTTAAATGTTGGTCTATCTTTTGGCATGTCTTAATATGGAAAAATGTCCCCAAAATTACCCCCACGGTTTAATAGCCATTATCTCTCTGAGTGTTGGACTTTCCCATGATATTTATTTTCATTTATACAGGGCTTTGTATGTTCTGAATATATTCTACCAATCAAGAAATACATTTTAAGAATGAAGAAATAGAAACATTTTGAAAATTGTAAAAAAAAGTAAAATGTAATGATAAATGTTTTAGAGTAGCTTGCCCATATCTTTTCTGTAATGCTTTTTAGGTTAATGAGAAGCTGCTCAAATATTCTATTTTTATACACCATCCATTTTTGTCCTCTGAAATGTTTGGCAGCTCCAGCAAGAAGCAGCTGCTAGTTTTAAACAGGAAAGCTAAACAGCTAACTTTACAGGAAACTTTGTAATCGGTGTCTGGCACGATTTAAAGAGATTATAACAATTTCAAAAAATAGGCAAGCTATTCTATTTTATAGTCAATTTAGAAAAACAGAGCCATCAAACCCCAAAGACCTAATCTTAATGAGTATAATTTTTATGTCATAGTATTACTGTCACACTCAGATTTAAGTCTTACCAGCAGCTAAATAGAGTTTTTCTTCTTTTTTCAAGTACTTGGAAAATCTCAATGATGTGTTACATAATTTTGCACAAGGGCCTTTCTTGTTTACATAATCATATCATCCTTTTCTATGACATAAAGAAAATAAATGCATATTTTATCACTCTTAAGACAAAATAGAAGGGAAAATTACTTTAAATCATTTTTCTATTTATCCATCGCTGTTGAGTTGATTCCGACTCATAGCAACCCTGTAGGACAGAGTATAGCTGCCCCATATGATTTCCAAGGCTGTAATCTATACAGAAGCAGACTGCTACATCTTTCTCCACGGAGCGGTTGGTGGGTTCTAACAGCCGACCTTCTGGTTAGCAGCTGAGCATTTAACCACTGTGCCCCTAGGGCTCCTTATCTATTATTTGAGGGGTATATCAAATCTACCAGCTGCTCTTTGGAAACCCTATGGGGCAGTTCTATTCTGTCCTATAGAGTTGCTATGAGTCGGAATCAACTCGACAGCAATGAGTTTGTTTTTTGGTTTTTATTATTTTAATATTGCTAAAATTTACATTTTTTTCTTCTTGCTAAGTCATTCCCATACAGTATCACCATTAGACCTAAGCAAGGAGGGCCCCTGCTTTGGGTCCTGCTTTTTTAGAAGGTCCTGGTTTGGGCCTCATCAAGCCACACCCCTCCACAGAGAGCAAGAAGACTGAGGGCCCAAAGTTATGGACTCATCAGGAGCCTTTGCCCTCCTTCTAGACCACGATCTGGCTGCCCAAGGCCCTGAAATTCTTTGCTCAGACAGCTTCAAGCCTGTTTCCAGGTCCTGCATGGGAATCTCCTCAGGGACACCCTCTTGAGTGTGTGGATAGTGTGCTCACAGTTACTTCTGCCGGGGCCGTTGGTGGCCTTTTGGAGGTAGACTGTGGATAGACCTTGGATGTGCAGGCTGCACTTCCTGTCCCATTTACAGACAAGGCCCTGACAATGCCAAATGTGTAGGAAGATAAATGGGGACAGGACAATGGCCACCTGCCTCTTTTCCTCACTCTGCCACATTCTGGCGTGTGTCTCAAGGTGTCCAGAATTCTACACGAGAAGTTCTAGGTCAATAGAAAGATAGTAGGATGGAACATATTTTATATTCTATTCATCACTTTGTTAAATACCAAAAACTAGTTACGCTGAGTGATCCAACTGATGGAGACCCCGTGTGTGTCAGAGTAAAACTGTGCTCCATGGAGTTTTGAAAGGCTGTGATCTTTTAGAAGTAGATTACCAGGACTTTCTTCCAAGGCACCTCTGGGTAGGTTTGAAATGCCAGCCTTTTGGTTAGTAGCCAGGTGTTTAACCGTTTGCACCACCCAGGGACTCCTATCATTTTGTTAGCTTGATTTATAACAATATTTAGTTGTATGGTATGTGTTCCTCCATTTTTACCTTTGCCCCAGACCTCACAGATGTTACAAGTGGGTCTTTCCTCTTTTGAGGGTAAGCAGATTCAGAGAATTAGAAGTTGATTATTAAATTTGAAATTTGAAAAATCTGCTGTGAAATCAGGGTAGTGGTTATCACCGGGGGGAAGAGTTGTAACTTGGGGAGGAGGCTGGCATGTTCCAATTTTTTACTTGCATGGTGGTTACGTGAATGTTTACTCTTAATTCTTTAAACTTAATGTATAGACTTTTGCACTTTATGCATAATGGATCTCCCAATAAAATGTTAAAAGAAAAAAAAAAACTTTAAATAATAATGTCATTCTTAATTAAGGAAAAAAAGTTAAATCTCAGAGAAACCTTCCTTATCTACCATAGATTATATTAAATCCATTCTAAGGTGTTGACTCAGACATCGAAATGAACAGAAATAAAGTTTACGGTTCTAGAAGACAGCTTAATAAATTATATAACGTGTGTGTGTGTCTGCACACATACATATAAAGATCTGTGTGTGTTTGGTTTTTCTTCTCCAAGACCTCAGCCAGGGAAGCAATTGAAAGAAAACCTCTTTCTCTTCTTTTCACATTCTCAGCAATAAGGTCTTAAGTAGTTCCTATGGGTTAATGAGAAAAACACTTTAAAGCATGCTTTAAATTTTTTTTATTAGAAAATTTTTTTTTAATTTCTTTATTAATTTAATAGCTGAAAGGTCTTCAGTAGTTCCCATAGATTAATGAAAAGATATTTTAATGCATGTTTTTTACATTTGACTCTGAATCTGTGATTTGTTTATCTGAAAGAATGAGCAACAATAAGCAAAAGGCAGAAAGGGGTAATTACTTTTTCAAGTTGGAGAACCACTGCATGTAAACTTTATTCTATAATTTCATGACAAAAAACTTTTCTTGATTCAGTTTCCACATATTCATTATAACAGAGATTCTTTGTCTGTTCTTATCTTTTAGGTACCGACTTCACTGCATAAAGAAAGTAATGAAGAAGGTATGATATATTTTGATCCTTAAGGAGCTAAGTGTATAAATTTGCTCATAACAGTGAGAACCGAAAAATAAATAGATTAATTTAAATTAATTTTGGAAAATGAGTAGGAGGACATTTATTACTTTTAGCCTAGGAAATGGTTTCATTATGCAGTGACTTTTTTTAAATGAAATACCAAGAGGTTCCAACTAGTTCTGATAAATCTGAAAAGACTCCAATTATCTGAATCTGGGAAATTTTATTATCGCCCATGATTTTAATGAGTCACCCATTTTAACAGAAGATTTTAAAATCAAAATTTATAGTAGGATTAAAAATGCTTTCTATATTTTTTGTCACCATTATTTGAAGCTGTTTTGAGAAATAAGTGAAAATGTTCTGTGGTAAAAATTACAAAATACAAGCATATTCACATATCACTTTTCTTTTAAAATATTGCAAGGCTTTTGGCCTTTTGTTTTAATATAAAATATTAGAAGAATATTCAACTTGCAAATTTGTAGGAAAAATAAAAAATATTTAGAGTCGAGTTCTAAGTTGTTAGAAAGGAGCAAATCCATAGACATGATTTCATGGAAAAGTAAGCTGTATTGCTTACATAGTGTGCTAACAGATTGTTTCTCTGCAATACTGTCCCATTTGGGGTATTTGACAGGCATCAAATTTTGCAGTACAAAGTTTTTCTAGACCTTTCATGCTATAGCTAAGGTACTAACTTCAGTATTGCTTAATAGGGACTAAGAAAACAAAACAAAAAAACCTCATTGCCATCGTGTTGATTCCAACTCATAGTGACCCTATAGGACGGAGTAGAACTGCCCCATAGGGTTTCCAGGGAGCAGCTGATAGATCCAAACTGCTGACCTTTTGGTTAGCAGCTGTGCTCTTAACCACCGCACCACCAGCACTCTGATAGGGACTAAATGACACGGAAACATGTATGAAATAAAGTGGGAAAACTCTAAAATTTTGAATGTAGTTTTATATAAGGCTGGAACCAAATGAGAGAACTTAGGGAAATAGCTTTAAATAGACAAATGTGAAATATTAAGCTTATGACTATTTTTATCTGCCTAAATACTTCCTAAAGGTCTAAATGAAATTTGTCTTATCCCTCCCTTCCTCACTCCCTCTTCCCTTCTCCCCTTCCCTAATACCTTCCTCTTCCATTTTAAACACAGAGCAAGTGTGGCACTTCCTTGACAAGTGATTGAGACATTTGAAATGCTGCCATCAAGACTCCAATCATCCTGTTCCCCTAAGTGTTAGAGACAGGCAGGTGTATGAGCATTTGCTGACTTCCTGTTGAAACTTCTTTTTTTTCCCCATAGTTTTTGAAATATGCAGTATGTAAATAAACACTGAAATTTTTGAATTAGTCTCCTTTGGATATTTATTGGTATGGAAAGAAGATTTGGTTTAATTTCATAGTAGAAATTTAGAAGCATTGAGTTTTGACCAGTTCTAATTTCTATACCTAAAGAAACCCATTGATTTTTTATTACCTTCTGTTTCTATAGCTTAATGTAAAAATTATTAGTAAGTTAGTACGGTTTTTGTAGATATTGTTGTTCTCACTTTCATTCCATATTATCCCTATGCTGGTGGAGGCTTCATTTAGCCAGCGTCTGTCTCTCCTATTAGTGCCTGTGCAAATATGTTTATATTTATTAAAGCTCTTTCCTGTAATTTATGATCTTGTAGGCCCTAAACTCACTTGGGTTCTCATCTACTTCTCTTAGTTTCAATTCTCGTCTTTTTAACTCCCAAATATACATAAGAAACCCAGGTCTCTCTCCTAGGTTCTGCCTACTGGACATCTCTTTAAATGCTTTGACCTCTCTTGTCCAAAACTGAACTCATTATTTTCCCTTACATATTTACTCCTCTTCCCTTGTTCCTTATCATGAGCAATTGATTTTACATTCTGCAGGCCCCCATTTGAAACCTTGAAATTATATTGAACCTCTCTTCTCTCTTTTCCCATTTTTACTCGTGAAGATGATTGAAACATTTCTTTCATCTGTTATCTTCAGTCCGTTACCACCCATACCATGCTAGTCTTTTTCGTTACTTCATATGAATTCTTGTAACAGCTTCCTGTCTGTTCTCTGTGCTTCTCAGATCCAGCCCTTCGGCCTCATCCCCATTTCTCTAGCTCGATGACATGCTCTCTTTTCTCCAAACCAAGTGGTTGTGCTGCCTCCAGCTTTTCTCCTTCCATCCTATCCTGCACATTTCCAAACAATAATTTACCTAAAACATAGGTCTTATTATATATTTTTCACAAAATGCCTTCAATGGTTTCCCATATTGTTGAGAAAGAAAATCAGACTCTACTTCAGTCTAAGCTTCTAATCTGATTTCCTCAGGAGTTCCATCCTCCAGCTATGTCATGCTGCTTACTCTTCAAATGCGTCTGTACTTTCACACTCCCAGTACTGTGCTTCTCTTCTCTTGTCACTCCTGTTCATGGCTTTTTCTCCCTTTGTCTTTCTGTTATTATGATCAACACATTGCATTTGCATGATATGCTTTGAGATTTACAAAGCAGTGTTACGATAATAATAGTTACCATTTAGTGTGCTTCTGTAGTATATCAGGCACTGTATTAGGTATTGTACATTCATATGCCGTATCAGGTAGATATTGCCTACTTTATACTTAAGGCTTTGAGAAGTTCTGTAACCTGCCCAAGGTCACACAGCTAGTAAGTTTCAGAGCCAGAATTAGAACTCATCACTATCTGGCTGTAAATCCCATGATTTTTGCAGTATGCATGCTACTTCTCACACACAGCTACCTTTTGATGTAGGCAAAGCTCAGGGCATCCCAATTTTATAGATGAGGAAACAGAAACAGAGAGTTTAAGTGATTAGCCCAGGGGTAAAATAGCAGTGTTTACTTGAGGTGTCTTTGGCAATGTGTGAACCTCTTTGAGGGACATGCACAGGTATAATGGGAGAATATATTGTTTTTCATTTTATAGATACATTGATTTTTTTAATTGTGAAAATAATATAACTTATAGAAAAATGGAAAATAGAGAACAACTACTATTGTATTATTTGTAAACAGTATGTTAGATTATCGAGGTATAGGTTAATTGGCTCGTGGCATGTGGCCTATTAGTCCTATTGGAGCTGGAAGAGAGAGACAATGTCTGCTTGGCTTTTTGTGGGGCGATTCACACTTAGTATTTGGCTCCCCTTCTAGGAGTTACTAGGACCCAGATGCTGCTTAGTTAGTGAGCCTTACAGAAGAGGCAAACCCATCACTCTACAGTACTATAACCAAAAAAAACAAAAAAACAAAAAACCAAACCTGTTGCCATTGAGTCAATTCCCACTCATAGTGACCCTGTAAGATAGACTAGAACTATCTCATAGGGTTTCCAACACTGTAATCTTTAAGGAAGCAGACTATCACATCTTTATCCCTTGGAGCAGCTGGTGGGTTCAAACTCAACCTTTGAGTTAGCAGCCCAGCACTTCATACTGCGCCTCCAGAGCGCCTTGTAAGAGTGGATCCTTGCATTCCTGGGCGGGCTTGAACCGCCAACCTTTTGGTTAACAGTCAAATGCACTAACCGATTGTGCCACAGAGACCATGACAAGTTGATCTACCAACAGTGGGCTTTGAACCCAGGTGGGCACCAGCTTATTGGATCTTAAGTGCAGTGCCTTAACCACTTGGCAGTCACTCTAGTTTATCACAATTGTCTTAATAGTGTATGATTTGTACATAGTTATGATATTAATAAACATAAAATATTGAATTTTTAGCTTTTCATTATGTCATAAGCATTTTCCACATTGCTACATAGTCATCATTGTTACTATGGTGACTGTTATTTTTCATTGAGTGACTACTTCTTGATTGTTGCAGAATATCTTCCAGACTAGCTAATCTAATTTTTGCCAGCCCATCCTCATGGAACAATTAAATTGAGTAATCTTTATACTAAACACTTAGAAAGGAACACTGCTGGGGAAAAAATAGTGAATGGTTGTTAAAGCTGCTTACAACAACTTAGGAAGCCACAGTGACCCATGAATGGGATTTTAAGCAACACCCACAGCCAGTTCCAATGGATGTAAAAAATCAAAGGGGTGCACTGTGCAGCTTTCATTTTATTCAAACTTTCTATAATTAACAAATATCATTTTATGGGCTTTTATTGATTTTTCACATACAGAATCATTTCATACATGGTGTATTTAGTGTCATTCTACAGAAGGAGCAAATTGAATTATTTGATAAAGTCTGCCCTTCCATTGATGGCTATATGCATTTTTAGCAGTTTATGTACTCATTAATAGCAACATTGGCTGATTTTTTTTTTTCCCAGAAGGGGGTTTGTTGCCTTGCCATAAAAAAAAAAACCGTTGCCATTGAGTCAATTCCGACTCATAGCGACCCTATAGGACAGAGTAGAACTGCCCTGTAGTTTCGAAGGAGCAGTTGGTGGATTTGAACTGCCAACCTTTTGGTTACAGCCAAATGCTTAACCACTGTACCACCAGGGCTCCATAAGGCAAGGTATACCTTGTGACTGCCCATTAATCTTTATTACTTGTTATGATTATCCTTGGTGGTAATGGAATGGTGATAACAGATAAAAAAAATTTACGTGATCTTCATGAGTAAAGATAGGAAAAGAGAAGAGAGGTTCAGTATGCTTTCAAAATGTTACTATTATATGGTGGGTGAAATCTTTAAATTCTGGTTAGCCTCTGTTCTTTCCATCCTTCTTTCTGCATTCTGTCCAAGTTGTGTACCAGTGTTTTTTAGTGGGGTCTATGAAACACTGGGCAGTGTTTCATTCTGTTATACATAGTCTCTATGAGTCAGAAACAACTTGACAGTACCTAACAACAGCATGAAACACCTGTATCAGAATCACCTAGAACGCTTCTTAAAGTAGATTTCTGACTTACCTCTGAAAACCTACCAATTCAGAAATTCTAGGGGTGGGGCCACAAGTATGTTCTCTCTTCTTTCCATAAGTCTTATAAACTAAAGTTTTAAACCCACTGGTTTAGATCAAGGGATAGCTTATATTGGAAATTTCTTAACATTCTGTTTGTGATTATCTCACCCTAAGGAAAAGAAAACCAGGTGTCTACTTGTATAGTGGAATCATGTATAGAATGTTATTACCTCCTGTTAGAAAAAAAGAAAGAAATGTCGTACTAAGTTTAGTGTTGACTATTAAGTGTTTTTGGCTTAAAATGGACTGTATGTAAGGGAAAAGTTTATTATACCTCATGAGAATTCCTTTTGATGTCTAAGTTGGCAAACTCTGTTAGACAAAGTAGTTGATCCCATAATTGTACACCCTGCATTATGTCTTAAGACCCAATGAGAGAGAAGCCTCTGCTTATGATGTCACAACCTTGGGGGAATTGAAACAGTGAAGAGGTGACTCTGCTCTGACAGACAGGAGTCAGGATGGTCGTGGTGGCAGAAGGGGGAAGAGCTTTATAAAATGTCTGAGCCCTAGCCACAGTTGAGGGTTTCTGTGGTTGACCTGATATCTACCCTGTGCAGATGACCTGTTGAGAACATACCCCACTTCCCGGTTTATTCCTCACCATAAAAGGATGTAGGGACCCAGGGCAGCCAGGACAGAAGGTATAAGCCTTTCTTCCCTTCAGTCAAAAAATAGTAAATGAACTGGCATCTGTTGATTGGATACAGCATGGCCTGCATCCAGTATACATATGGATGTTCTGGCAAAGCTCACTATTTCTGATCCTGCATTCGTCTCGTCATCTCTGACCTCTGGTTCTTGGGACATGAGAAGCCTTCAGCCTGCCCAGAGGGTTGCAGGAGCTGGCAAATCCGGAATCTGCAGGTCAGACAGCAGATAGTAAATGAACAGATGCCAGGTCCAACATTGCATCTGTCAGTCATATTCTGAATGCCAAGACTAAAGGTATCCTGGTTCACCGTGAAAGGAAAGATGTCCGTACTTCCTCTTTTATATTCAAAATACCTAATACATAGAGCTTATTCCTCCTTTTTAAGTAGCTGGCTGCAAAAGGTTGAACTGTGCTGAAAGATTAGAGGAGATTTATTTATATGAGGCCAGAATACATCCCGTTACAATGATTTTATTTAGCCAACTGTCTGTTTTTAGACATGCTTCATTTTATGCTATTTTAAAATTCACTTGTCTTAAGCTTGGTTCTCTAAAGGCACAAAACCAGTGAAGTGTATATGTATGTATATATATACATAGAGAGAGAGATTTATTTCAGGAAATGGCTGATGCAGTTATGGAGGCTGGCAAGTCCCAAATCCATGGACCAGGTGGCAGGCTGGAGGCTTCTTCTGACTCACGTAGTTGCAGGGGCTGACAAACCCAAA